AAATTCATTCCTCTCCCCGGACCCCCTTCTCCAGCATGAGTCTTGGAGAGTACACGGGGACATGGCAGGAAGAACCCCAAAATCCAGCTCTGCCCTTGAATTCATGGCAAGCCCCCTGCTTCAGCCTCCAAGTGCTGGGATCTCAGTCTCACACTACTATGCTTGGCTAGACCCTCCCTTTGTTGCCCCTTTCACTATGGTGGGACTTCCCACTCCCCACAGCAGACTCTATGGTCAGCTGGGACGGGACATAAGACTTCCTCCACAAACTGGAGGGAGCCCCCGAGGTGGGGGGCGGGGGAGAGAGAGAGAGAGAGAGAGAGAGAGCTCAATACAGCTGTTGCATTCGCTCTCACCCAGAAGTAGAGCCAGAAGTCCAGACTGCTGGAGGCCAGCTCAGTCAGGACCTTACCTCTGACCCCTAGAGACAACATCCCACATCCCACCCCTGTTCACAGGGCTCTAGAACTGATCTGGCAGAACAGGGGGTAGAGGTGCTAGCCAGCCCCTGCTGACTCTGGAGCCCTTGCCCAAGGGGAGGGTGGAGACAGGGTTATCTTAGTTGCCATAAAGGAAGGATGGGAAATGACCCATTTAGGCAATTCTAGCCCCGGCGGGTGGGCACTGGAAATGAATGACCACATAGGCACACTCACACAGATGTACAACAGAAACTACCAAAGCAAAAGCAGGGCTGGAGAGACGGCCCAGTGGTAAAGAGCACTGGCTGCTCTTCCAGAGGACCCAGGTTCAATTCTCAGCTCCCACACAGTGGTTCCCACACAGTGGCTCCCACATGCGGTACAAACAGGCAAGCAAAACACCCAAACAGAGAGACAGAGACAGAGACACAGAGAGACAGACACACACACAGAGACAGAGAGACACAGAGAGACAGAGAGAGAGACAGAGAGACAGAGACAGAGAGAGAGAGACAGAGAGAAAACTACACCATGCCTGGCAGATGTGACCTTAGCCATGTCAATACCAAAGCGCTTCTGAAACCTGCTGGAGTGCAAAACTTGAAACTCTGTGAAGAAGCACCAGACATACAAAAACTGTGGGACGTCCTACACATTATCACACTGTACTCACCAGACATACAAAAACTGTGGGACATCCTACACATTATCACACTGTACTCACCAGACATACAAAATCTGCGGGACGTCCTACACGACGTCCTACATATTATCACGCTGTACTCTTCCCAATGCCAATGTTATGAACCAAGTGTAGTGACACATGTCTGTAATCTCAGCACTCAGGAGGCTGAGGCAAAGGGTTTACCCTGAGTCTGAAGCTAGCTTGGGCTACATGTTGAATTTCAGGCCAGTCTAGCCTACACACTAAGGCCCCACCCGAAGAAAATATAAATAGGAGCTGAGGTATAGCTCAGTTGGTAGCGCTTGCCTGGGTCTGATCCTGATCCTCAGCACTGCATAGACCGGGTATAGCGGCATACATACATATAATCACGCCACAAGGGAAGTGGAGACAGGAGGATCAGACTCAAAACCAAAACCAAAAATAAATGACTAGGCAATGCTGGGCTAGCAAGATGGCTCAGGGGAAAGGTGCTCCATGCCCAAGCCTGGAGATTCAACCCTTTGAGTCCACATAAAGGTGGAAGGAGAGAGCTCAGCCCACAAACTTGTCTTCTGAGCTCCACACACAGGAGCCATGGCACATGTACCCTCTAAACACTAATAATAAGTAAAAATAAGTAAAGACTGACGGGGAAATGGAAGATGTGCAAGGGATAAAAAGACGTGAAAAATGGATCAACGCAAAATTCAGAATTTCCCCCAGAGACACTGTTAGATGACAGACAAAGTTTAAGAAAGTCTACCATCAGGTGACAGTGTTGTCCTGAGAGTTATGTGTTGGTTTGTGTTCCTGTGCAGGAAAGTCACATACCATAAACATACATACATGAGGCGGCATTGAATCTATTCAAGAAAAATAAAAATAATGGGAGAAGATAAAATGCTAACAATTGGGAAATCTGCAAAGTATAAATAAGTTTTGTTAAAGTTATTGTTAGTCCAGCCAGGTGGACTCATAAAGTCAGAATGAGTGTCTACCCCGAGCTCCTTGACTTGTCTTCTGTGAGTGATGGGTGACTGCCCCATCCATCTGGTTGGACCACTGGTGATCTATGATCTAATAACAGGGCATCACTTTGTAAAACCTTCAGGAGCCAGATGATGGGGTCTCAGCTGTCCTACGTCAGTCAAGGAGAAAGGTCACTGGGGATGGGACCGTGTTCAGTACTAAGAGGAAGGCTCTGGGGTCACATGGTTGCTTTCCCAGGAGCTTGTGTGTGCAGGGGGGTCTCTGGAACTCTGTGTTTCATGCCTGTAGTTGGTTTTTCTCAGGTCTGGGGAGGTAGCATTGGCTTCCATCTCCAGCACTTCCAGAAAACAAGCAAAAAAGATTTCCTTTCCGTCTCACATTCTATTAAAACCATGATTTTGAGCATCAGCCACCGGCATTTAACAGTTCTGTCACATTTTGGATAGGAAGGAGAGGAAGTCTCTTAACTTACTGCTTCCTCTATTGTTGGACATTGAAATTAGCTCTAATTCTCACTATGGCAACAGCACCTCAGGAAGTCCTGAGTCCACACAGCTTTGTGTGAGCTTTGCATTTTCTTCTTAGACTAGGCTCCAGTCAACAGGATTACTGGACTGGAAGGTAGGAACCAAGAGCTTCCTCCAAGGATTACTCCAGTTTCCAGAACCACTAGAGCGGGACAGTTCAGCTTCGCTAACTTTTTCATTAGTATTCTCATGATTCTTCTTCTAATTTAATGAGAAAATGCCACCCCGTTACTTGATCAATTCCCAGTAACTTTTTTTTGGGGTAGGGGGGACAGGGTCACATGCAGTCCAGGATGGCAGGCTGACAGGCTGACCTGAAGTTTAAATAGAGCTGAAGCAGATTTTGAACCCTTGATTCTCCTGCCTCCACCTTCCCTGGGATTACAGGGGTAATAGTCAGTCAAAAAGTAGATCATTGATGGGTACGATAGCACACACCTTTAATCTCATCATCCACGGGAAGAGGAGGTTCCAGGCCAGCCAGGGCCACATAGGGAGGCCTTGTCTAATAACTAAGTGAGAAAACACATAGTAGGCAGTCAGTAGTCTGTGTCCAGGGAGGAGATTGCTCACACGAACAGATCATCGGCAGGAGTAACCTAATACTCCAAGGCTATAGAGTGGAGAGGCCTTAGCAACCAGTGTGGGAGGATCTGGGTCATAAATGAACCAGTTGGGCAGGTTCTAGCAAATCTCTTGAACACAGCCTTCCCTAGAAGGACTCCCCTGAGCATCACAGAATCTTCTTAGAGGGCTCCTGATGAGAACTGAGCAGAGCACTCCCAACTCAGGTTGGCCAGGAGAATCATCTTCTATCGGGGCTACACAGAAGGGTCTGTTCCTTTGCTTAAAAATATACTGCATTCTTCTGTTTTTTGAAAGAGTGCAGCCAAGATGAGAGGTTCTGGCAAAGAAAGGTCCAGCCTTGGGCCCCTGATTTTCAATGCCCATGACCACCTGTGTTCAGACTCCAATTCTGCCATGGAAGACTTCGGTCTCTGACATAGTTGGTGTCTGGTGCATGTTGGAGGGGAGAGTAGCCGCAGCCTCCTTTTCAGTAGGTCCCCGTGCTGTGAATGACATGCTACGAAGATTCTGTCTGACCAGCTGAGAAGCGGGACTAGCTGGTCTCCTTCCAAGAGTTACAAGAGCAGGAGGTCAAGTGACTCTTCCCAGCTTGTCTCAGCGTGTGACAACCAGGTGACCTGTCTCTACCAAAGTGCTGACTACCCTCTCAGCCCTTGGAAAGCACTCAAGTTTTCAGAAAGGACCTATAATTAGGGCAGACTCTGGGGCCTTGAGCTGAGGCAAGGAGACAGCCTTAGGATTCCTGCCTTGGGCTCAGCACAGGACACTGAGAATTTTGAACTCTGAAATGACACAGGTGAGGTTGGCCTCTGGGTACAGTTTTCTTGCTGACAAGCAGGGCAAGCCAAGGCCTTGGTTTCCACACTCAGGTTCCAGGTGGCTGACAGCCCTGAACCTAACCAGCCCTTTGCCACTGACCTCAGTTTTGAAGATCATGAATGCTAGGCAGTCAAGACCTCCTAGAAGGGGCTGGAGAGATGGCTTGGTGGTTAAAAGCACTTGTTGCTCTTATGGAGGACCTGGGTTCAATTCCCAGCACCCACATGATGGTTCACAACCACCTGTAACTCCAGTTGGGTGGGGGAGGTCTGATGCCCTCTTCTGACCTTCCAGGGCATCAAGTACACATACATACACGTGATGCACATACAGACACGTGATGCACATACATACATGCAGTCAATACTCACACAAAAATTAAATTAATAAATCTTAAAAAAAAACTTAGAAGAAACATTCTGGTGACTGGGGCCTGAAGTCTATAAATGGCATGAAAAACTTAAAAAGCATACCTTTGTGTATTTTATAGTTGAGACACTGTGGCCTGGGAGTGGCTGGATGTACCACACCCACTGTGGTATAGAATTGGAAGTTGTGGGCTCTTTGGCCAGGACAGACACCTAACTCACCTCCCAGTCTGCAGACTGGAGCAGAGAGCAGAGACTGCCAGGTCACCGTGAAGTAGGAGGCAAAAGGCACAGTGTCGTCATTCCCACCTCCTTTCTAAATGGCAGGGCTCACCCCTGTGGGCAAGCTCTGCTCCCACCCCCACCTTGCTTGAAGGTTCCAGCTGGGGCACACACCAACCACCCTCTTCAGAGATGCTCAGATAGGTTGACTCCAATCTCTTGGGCAAGCCAGGCTTCCTTCCATGGTTCCGGGACGCCTGGGGGCATCACTGCCAGTAGGACACGCCACCTTGCCATCTAGATGGAGGACGCACGAGTGCCACAGTGCAGCAGGCAAGGCCAGCGACCAGTAAGCCTGGGTCTGGGGCCTGGAGGCAAAGCAGCGTCTCCTACTTACCTGACGAGGTGAAAGGCCCAGAGTAGGTGGTCCGTGCTGGGCCCGCGCGCAGCTCGGACGATGCTGAGGTACAGGTAGAGGGCGATGGCCACCGTCCAGAAGAAGGAGCTGGTGTTGGCGAAAGTAGAGAGCGCGCCCTGAAGCACGCAGTCCCACGAAGAGCCCGCAAAGTCCTGCAGCACCCCGTAGAAGTACGAGGCAGCCGAGAGCAGGTCCGTTAGCGACAGGAAGAGTAGCAGGCGCCGCGCCCGGCTACGCAGGTCAGGCCACAGGGCGTGCGTGGCCACCAGGAGGCCCGAGCCCAGCGCTGACAGCACGCACGACAGCAGCACCACGGCGCGCTCCCACGGCAGCAGCTCGGTGGGAGGCGCGGGTGAGGGCATGGCCGGCTGGGAACCAAGGGCAGACGGCCAGGGTGCACAGGTCCAAGGGTGCCGAGAGGTCGAGGCCAAGCCGAGCCCGCGGTCGCCTCTGTCTGGGCATCTAGGCGCCCAGGACTCGCGTCCCCACGGGTCCCGCCTGCGTCCCAACCCCGCCCAGTCTATCGACTATGCAGCCACCAGTCTCATCCCAACGCCCTCCACGCCCTGCCCAGAGCCCTCTAATCCCCGCCCCTGAGCCCTCTAATCCCCGCCCCTGAGTCCTCTAATCCCCGCCCCTGAGCTCTCTAATCCCCGCCCCTGAGCCCTCTAATCCCCGCCCCTGAGCCCTCTAATCCCCGCCCCTGAGCCCTCTAATCCCCGCCCCTGAGCTCTTCCCCTTTCACCCCTGATCCCCCACGCCCCTCGCTGAGCTCCCTAATCCTTGCTCCTGAGCTCTCCACGCCCCGCCCCTGCGCCCTCCAGGCCCCTCCCCTGAGCTTCCTAGTCCCCGCCCCTGCGCTCTGCAAGAGCGGTATTCCTGTTTGCCTCCCACGCTCTCAGCCCCAGTAGCCTCAGCACCCAGCCCTGGCGCCCGCCCCTGCGTTCTCCTCGCCCAAAATCCGTCCCTATCCGTCCCTATACCTTGCTCCTAAATTCTCCACTTCTCACATCCCAAGCTCTCGAGCCCAGCTCCCACGTCCTGCCCCTGCCCTGCCCCGCCCCCGATCCCTCCACGCCCCGCCTCTGTAATGCTGAGCCCTCTCCTCGCACCGCCTCTGAGCTCTCCACGTCCCGCCCCGTGGCTCCAGGGCACCGCCCAGCTCCTTCCAAGCTCCTCCCGTGACCCCCCCTCGTGCACTGCTCCACCCCTGATGCTCATTCGGCACCATGCTCACGAGCTTCCCCACGCCTCTATGCCCCTGCACCTCTCTCCTCCCCGGTAGCTCCCGGTCCTGGTCCCAGTCATTGCCTTAAGCGTCCCAGAGCTACTCTAGGAGGCTAGCAAATGGCTAGGACATCCCGTCCTGGGAGGGAAGGGAGAATGGCATTTTTAGGGCTAACGTTACTTTCCCCAGGTCAGCCTGTTTACGTGTGTGTTGGGGCGAGGAGGGCGGTTGTTGGAGACATTCTTACCGATGGTGGCAAAAAACAGGTCCAGAGCATGACCCACATTCCTGAAGCCTGGGTACGTCAAATGTTCACAAGGTCTGTGGTGCTGATCTGGGGAAGTTTTTAACTTTTGTTACAATGAATGTACTGTTTTTGCGGAGCTGGGAATGGAACTCAGGGCCTCACACATCCCAATGAAGTGTTCTTCTACTGAGCTATATACTTTTAGTTCCTAGTTATTCTATATAGCTTATTAGGTGCGATTTAAAATTTTTTTTTTATTATTTTACGTGCATGGATATTATGTCTGCATGGATGTCTGTGCACCACGTGAGTGAAGTGCCTACAGTGGCCAGAAGATGTGGTTGCTGGACTTGAACCCAGTCCTCTGTAAAAGCATCAAGTGACCATCTCTCTAGAGGTACGAATTTTACGGAAGGGAAGCATCAGTGCCTGTGAGATGGCTTTGAGTAATGGCCCTGGCGAAACGACCCACAATCTGAGTTTGATTCTCAGGGCGCACTTGGAAAGAGAGATCGACTCCTGTAAGTGGTCATCCTACCCCCACACTGCGCATAGCACACTTCTCCCCCACCCCACTGAACACACGCAATAAAAAAATGTAATTTTAAAAATGTAAAGTGAAAAGAAAAACTAAAGGAAATATTAGTTCCCTGTTTACAGAGTCTTTTCCTTGCTTAATCATTTTGTATTTTTCAGGGATGGAGATACTTTTACAGAAGACCTGGTTTGCATTACCAGCTCTCATATTAGGTGGCTCACAACCACTTATAACTCCAGTTATAAGTGTATCCCATGCCCCTGGTCTCTGAGGGTACTGTACTCACATGCACATAAGCCGGTATGGACACACACACATAATTAATAGTAATAAAAATAATTTTTAAAAATGTTTGTATTTTTAAATTAACTAATTGATTAATTAATTATGTATACATGTTCTGCCTGCAGGCCAGGAGGGGGCTCCAGATCTCATTAGAGATGGTTGTGAGCCACCTTGTGGTTGCTGGGAATTGAACTCAGGACCTCTGGAAGAGCAGCTAGTGCTCCTAACTGCTGAGCCATCTCTCCAGCCCCCAAATGTTTGTATTTTTAATTGTCATAACATTGACCCTCTTAGCCCTATAAGTCACGGGATTTAGTACATTTGCAAGTTTGTGCAACCACGGTAATTATCTAATTCTACAGCATTTGCTCACCCTCAAGTACTTGGGCTGGAAAGATTGATCATCAATTAAGAGCACTTGCTGCTCCTGCAGAGGGCTTGAGTTCAGGATCTAGCACACACATGGGCTCACGGCAACCTGTAGCTCCAGTTCCGGGGCATTGGAAGCCCTCTTCTGGGAGTCCAGCACTGCACACATGGGGTGCACATGTAGGCACGCTCTCATACACACATAGACCACACATAAACAAACCCTATTCTTTTCTAAGGAGAGACAGAAATGGAGTGGATCCGGATGGGAGGTGGAGAAGAACCAGAAGTAGAGAGAGAGGAAACTGTAATCAGGATATATTGCATGAGGAAATCTATTTTCAATAAAAAGAATTTTATAGTCAATTTTTAAGCCAAGAAATGATCCTCTATTGATATTCAAACGCACTAAATGGCCAGTTTAAACTTCTTGTGAAACTGTGCAACCATTAATTTTTATAATGTGTCTATGTATTTGGCTGCTCTGGATATTTCCTATGAATGGGATTACATAGTGCATGTACATAGTACATGGAGCTTGTGTCTGCCTTCCTTCACTTGGTGTTTTCAAGATTCCTTCACTGGAATGTGTCTGGATTCCTTTCCTTCCTAGGGGTAATCATATTCTATGGTTGGGTCCACTCATCAGCTGGTGGAAACACCTTTTGGCTGTGATGAATAACGCTTCTGTGAAAACTCAGGTAGAAATGCTGTGTGGACATATGTTTCCAGTTCTCTTGGGCATGTGCCTGGAATTCCTGGGTCCTACGGTAAAGAGCTATGTTTGCCTTTGTGAGGAAAGCGTGGCCTCTGTCCAAAGTGTCTGCATGCTCTTCCTTACTAGCAGTACAGGAAGGACAGTTTTGATTTCTCCCAACATATTTGTTTTGGACAGGATCTTATGTAGCTCTGTCTGGCCTTGAAGACAATCTGACCTTGAGTTTCTTGTTCTCCAGGGTGCTAAGATTACAGATTTGCATCATAAAGCCTTTTTTTTTTTAAATCATGTATTTAGCTAGTGTGCTGGCTGATTTTATGTCAACTTGACATAGGATGGAGTCATCTGAGAGAAGGAGGCCCCAATTGAGAAAATGCCTCCATAAGATCCAGCTGTGGGGCATTTTCTTAATCAGTGATTGATGGGGGAGGGCCCAGCCTATGGTGGGTGGTGCCATCCCTGGGCTGCTGGTCCTGGGTTCTATAAGAAAACAGGCTGAGCAAGCCATGGGAGGTAAGCCAGTAAGTGGCATCCCTCCACGGCCTCTGCACCAGTTCCTGCCTCTAGGTTCCTGCCCTGTGTGACTTCCTGCCCTGACTTTCCTCAGTGATGGAAGTATAAACTGAAATAAACCCTCTCCTCCCCAAGTTGCTTTGGTCATGGTGTTTCATCACATTAATAGTAATCCTGACTAGGACAGAAATTGGTACCAGCATAGTGGGGTATTGCTGTGACAGACCTGGCCATGTTGTTTTGGGGAGGATCGTGGGGACTTTAGAATGTTGGGCTAGAAGAGCCATTGAGTGTTGAGAGCTCAGTGGGATGTTCTGTAGGAGCTTGGAAGATAAGAATGTTGAGAGCAGGGCAGACGGTGGAGGCCTGACTTGTGAAGTTTCAGAGGGAAGCAAAGACTCCAATGAGCCTTTTGTGTGAAGAATCTGTGGTTCTGGTCCACTGGAGCTGAAGAATTAATCAGCTGTGGTTAACAAGAGACCAGAACCACTAAAGTAAAACATTTTCTTATTTATTTATTAAAGGCAAATATAGGGGCCGGGTGATAGTGGCACACACTTTTAATCCCAGCACTCAGGATGCAGAGGCAGGTGGATCTCTGTGAGTTCGAGGCCAGCCTGGGTTACAGAGGGAGTTCCAGGAAAGGCACCAAAGCTACACAGAGAAACCCTGTCTTGAAAAAACAAAACAAAACAAAACAACAACAAAAAAGCAAATATAGATCTTTACCTTATTTGATTTAATATTTGTGATATTATTTTGCTTTGCTGGGACAATTGATGCTGGTCAGCTGGAACTAAGAAATTAGCGGTGATTAAGAAAAGACCAGCATCATTGAGGTAAAATCTTCTGGGAGGTGTATCCTCAGGGTCAGCACATAGATGTGGCCTAGGTTGTAACTTGAGCTGGCAACCACATGGTAGTGTCAGAGTCACCCAGGTGTACTGGTTTTGAAGGCATGAGGGAGTCACTGTGAGGGGTCAGGAGAGGTCAATGGTGATAGTGCAGCCTCAGTAGTAGTTGAAGGCCTGGGATTAAAGGGGTCATGCTGAGAAGCTGGCACCATGAAGAGAGCCCAGGGGAGGCTTGTAGTAGTTTGAATGTAATTGGTCCCCATAATCTCATAAGGAGTGGTACTATTAGGAGGCTTTGTTGGAGTGGGTGTGGCCTTGTTGAAGGAAATGTGTCACTGTGGGGGCGGGCTCTGAAGTTTCCTATGCTCAGAATACCACTCAGTGTGACAGACGACTTCCTGTTGCCTACATATTAAGATGTAGCCAGCACCACATCTGCCTGCACACCACGTGACTCTCACTATGATTGTAATGGACTGAACCTCTGAACTGTAAGTGAGCCACCCCAATTAAATGTTTTCCTTGTAAGAGTTGCCGTGGTCATGGTGTCTCTTCACAGCAATACAAATCCTAACTAAGACAAATAATATGCAGTTGGTTTGGGACATTTGGGGTTGTTTCCAAAGTTTTGTTACTTATAAGAGAGAATGAGCATACATTCTTTTGTAATGAAAAAAGTTACTAAAAGCAATTTTTAGTAGTGTCAGCAAACCTATTTATGGAGCTTGATCGAAGAGAGTCCAGGAACAGCTGCTGTGTTTCCCAGTCACTCTGAATTGTTCAAAAGTCCCCTAA